TCTGGCCAAGATCTGGCCGCAAGATTTGAATTTACAGCCAAATGAGATCTGGCAAAAAATCCGGCCGTGTGGCCAGATTCAACTTTGTATCTCCTAATTGTAGTTTGTCATAAAAAGATCTATCACTGCACACCTGAGCCATGACACCCACACTGCATATGTGCAACAAGCTGAGTAATTTGTTAGCTATTATGCACACACAGATCTACTCAGTTCCCTGCTCATCTGAAGAAGTAAACATGTGATATATCATGAAACTTTTTCCAGTTTGACAAAATTGTCCTAAAAATTGACTAATACCTCCATAGCTACTCAGGCAATACTCTGAAAGCCATTCAACAGTAACAGAAATAGTGTTACAGTAGGTTTCAAAAAGGTTGAAATCAAGAAATATTTAAAATTGACTTGTGAACTGCGCAGCAGGCTGCGGTAGGCAGTAAAGTTGAGATTAATTGTGACATCTGTCAAACTTACACACCAGATCCTCTAATATACAGATGCTCACTGCAATAAACTCGTCCTCAAATATACACTTTTCTTGTGTTCTGCAAGCATTGGTGTCCCAATGGCTTCAAGCTGTGTCTTGATGATTGTGCTAGGTCAGCTTGTTGGGCTTGAGTCAGTGTTCGACTTGTCTTCTTTTACATTTGTAGTGTAATTTTCTTGTTAAAAGGTTGTTAGTTTCAACACTGGGTAAGCAACGCAATGCCTCGCAACAGTGTCTTTCTGCACGGCGTTGCATTTTCAAAATATGTTTTTTTTGGAATCCTTGTAGCGTAGCATTTCAAAATCCAAAACGCTATGCTGTCCTTGCTAGTGTTGCGTTAGACCGCTGCGCAACAGGCGCAACAGCTAAGCTACACACCGAAAAAAAGGTTGATTGTATTTATTGATGAAATAGTAACATACTGAATGATAGTAGTGAAATGAGGCAATAGACAAACAAGTGTAACAGTAAAAGTTTGAAACAAATGATTAAAAAAGAAATGAACGAGAGTAAGGAAATCAAAAACCAAAACAGAAGCAAAAAAGACCATATCAGTTGAGACTGCATGTGCAAGTTTGTACAATTTCTGACATTTTGAGTGCATCTGCACTAGAACAACATCCTCAACATGGTCAGAAACCAAAATGCTCTTTACATTCAACCTGTAGCAATGTTACTTGGTAAAGCCATGTGAAAAAAGACACTCGCCATAGACTCTTGACTCCATTTGAAACCAGTACAACTCAACCCATCAAAGATTGATTTCAGTCAATCGATATATTTTGATGTGTTCGGATCATAACAATTGTTGAGAATCTCTCAAGTTTGACTGAGTTGACATCCAAGATCAGTTTGATTTGTTCATGTATTTCCTTGGTTGAGGAAGAATCACAAAGCTGTGAACGTATTGTGGGTGATACACATAATTGAATCATGGCTGCAATCTTAATTTGATGGATTAGATTCATCAGAATGTACCCTGATTTTGATTTCATTTTAATCTTCATGATAAACTGATTGATGGAATAGTCAATTTGGATCACTGAGGATTGATGAGATCAATGGTCTTTTCATGATTTTAAAGGGTTGATTTTGATTTTGATTTGCCTTGGTGTATCTTAGTAGGCTTCCCTTGAGAGAGTATTCTCTTTCTCAAAGGTCTATGAGTCTGAATACTTGATTTGAATCTGAATGTTGAGATGCAGATAAATTTTAACTTTGAATCAATTGTTAACCAATTTTGTAAAGGAGAACGTTGATGTTGATGCCAAGTTGGTCAATGATCAAATTGAGATGGTGTCTGATGGTGTGATTTATCACGGTGTCAAGTACATAGGCCTCTTATCCAGGGCTACCTGCATGAAAAGACCAAGAAACTCATGTGGTTTCATGTGGTGTAACATTTGTGTACTGCACCAGTTGGATGGCCACGCAACACCCGCAACAGTTTCTGTCTGCGGTGCTACAACAGCTGTTGCGTTGCTTTTAGAAAAAAGAACAATTTTCAAGGGGTAGGATGCTCTGCGGGGTCTTACACCTCAAGAGCTGCACTGCTTTGCAGCGCAGCTTTGTCTCCAAACCGCAACACACCGCCACGCAACAGCACGCCAGCGTTGCTTACCCGGTGTTGTTAGTTTGCATTCCAACTGACACAAAAAGTTTGATTAACACGTCTGTCTCTTTCTCAGCGTTTCATTTTTTCGCGCCAACAAGCAAAAAAAGAGACTTGTAAAACAAGAAATATGGAACAAAAGATAAAAGAAGAAGCCAAGTCAAATCCCAGTTTCCATTTCACTAATGGGCCCAGCACAAGCTTCAAGACTCGTGCAAACATCACTGCCAAATTGGTTTATTGTTAGTCAGTATGTTTGGTATGGGACCAGACGCACATCAGGAATATGTATATATTTTGATAAGATCTGACGTGTAAGTTTGACAGATGTCAAGATTAATCTCAACTTTACTGCCTGCCGCAGCCTTCTGCACAGTTCACAAGTTGATTTTAAAAATTTCTTGATTTCAACCTTTTTGAAATCTACTGTACATGAAGCCGCAACACCAACATTGTCACCAATACCTGATGCACCAGGCAGTCCACCCAATTCTTTTACTACACCACCGTTTTCTCCTGAAGGTCAAATTTTCAAGAAGATTCCGGTGTCCCTAATGAAGGTGGTGAGTTGGTTCTAAGGCAACCGTTTCCCGCACCAGTTCACCTATCTCCCAATAGCTTGCTCCCACGACCATCACAACCATTACCTCATGTTCCAATCAAGCATCCCTGGGATTGGCAACCTTATTCACTTCCAGCGCCTCTTACTACAAAACTATAACTCAGTGTATATAGCCAATCTTTGGAATGCTTTTGTCAAACTGAAAAAAATACAGAAGGTATCACATATGATTTAGGGAAGACATCCAACTACCAAGAGGGAGTTGGGGTGTAAAGGGTGGGATATTTTTATGATCTTGTACATAGCGCAACCCATGACATGTTAGAGAGGTTAGCTGTGCTCCCACAGAGCAGAGCTTTTCACTCTGGATTGTTCTCTACCAGTATCACATAGTACCCACCTCCCTCTTGCTCTCTGTCCCCCTCAAGAGACCCACCCCGGTCATAAAAATGTGGAATTCTGGCCATCAAGTTCCAGAAACAAAACTGGAGTACTGATGAATGGGACAATCAACTGCTCTACAGCTGATTGTGGAGCAATCTTGGGCATCACTATATGACCACTATATATAGCAGTGACTGCACTCCACAACCCCAGGGTGAAAAAACCCATAGCATTAACACTACTGCAAGCTGTAGTCATTCCTGCCACATCTGTCTATTCAGATTCC